ATGCACTATCTATACTTAACAATACAGAGTGGGTTTACATAAATAGATAGTTGTGGTAAGAGCCTGTTTTTGAAAATGGATCGCATACATGCATCATACGCTATTATCTCATTGGCAATGGGATGTGAAGTAACCTTTTTTAATGTAGTCTAGTGAAATAAATCAGTAATTAAATAGGAAACACGGGGCAACATGAATGGAGCGAGGCGTTACATTCACAGCTGGGAATAATTTAACAGCCAGTTAAATAAGACAATCCACATGTATCAGTCACATCATGGAGCCATTGCGCGCAGCTCCAAGCTGACTGTCAGGGTTTTGGTTGAGGTTGAGGACCCATATGCAGAGGCAGAGAGGCTGAGGTGATTTCTTGGAGTTTAATGGGGGAAAAAAAAAAACATAAACAAAGGCAGGAGACATCTGGGGAAACCAAACATAAGGAGCCAGGGAGAGACGAGGTAGGTAGACAACAGCATGGGAGGACAGCAAAGACAAGGAACCAACCTAGAGTGACAGCTGAGGGAGAGTATATGTAGCTGACTGAGACAAAGGGAGGGCTAACGAGCTGACAAGGAGCAGGTGTGAGGAGACAACGAGGGAGCCAAGGGGAAAGGAACACACACAAGAGGGCAAAAGAGGACAACAACAGAAAAACCTGAAAACTAACATAAATCTAGAAACTACAAAAAAATAGGAATTAAACCAATAAAACTAGAAAACAAGGAGCAAAGTAAAGAACAACAGAACCAAGACAATGACAGTGACACCAAAAGTTCCATACCACACGTCTCTGGAACCGTTGTAGTTAGAGGTCTGAAATTTTCTGCATTTGTGGTTGACATGATGTAGAGCAAATATAATACAATAAAACCTGCTTTTTCTCAAGAATGTCTTTATTACTGCTGTTTAAAAAAGACCTATAATTTCCAAGAATAAAAAAAACAACAACTTTGAGTCATTTTTGAACTGATGCAGGGTGGTCTGTGTTCTAGTCACCCAAATTTTCTTTATATATTAATAGACTAGAGAATGTTAGCTTTCAAATAATGTATTGCACATGTAATTTGGGCTTACCGTTCGTAAGTTATTTGCTTTTCCATTTGGGTATGCAAAATAGGCCAGGATTACCCAAAATGAGGTGGATGTTAAGAGATTAACTGGTCCAAGCTCGCTCCGAACTCAGCACGGATCGGTTTTCAGAGGTTAGTGTAAATGGGGCTTATGTGTTTGTTTGCGTTTGCATGCAGAGATCTACAGGACGCCATGGTGATTCTGCAGTTGTATGAAAAGATCAAAGTACCGGTGGACTGGGGCAACAGAGTCAACCTTCCTCCTTTCAAGGGAGTAGGAGGAGGTCGCATAAAGAAGGTCAGTATGGACCACAGCAAGACTTCAGATTCAATCAAGAACTTTTAAATTAGAATACTGTACATCTGCTTGTTTTCCTGTCTTTCTCTTTAACAGATTGAAAACTGTAACTACGCTGTGGAGCTGGGAAAACAGAAAGCCGGATTTTCCCTTGTGGGGATCGGAGGTCAAGACCTGAATGAGGGAAACGAGACTCTCACCCTGGCGTTGGTGTGGCAGCTGATGAGGAGGTGATTTACCGTTTCACCTTCTAGCTAGAATTAGCAAAACTACAAAGCTTTGACTGTGAGTAGTTGGCATAGAGGTAAAGCTCAGCTGCATCACTGGAAGAACAACCTAAAACACAGAAACTTTATGGGAAAGTTTTATATTTATTGTAATTTTATTAAGAAAACAGCACAATATCTGGTCAGAGGAGCTAATAACGACATTCAACCCGATACAGGTACACTTTAAACATCCTGGAGGACCTCGGAGATGGAGAGGTGGCTGGAGAAGATCTGATCATCTCGTGGGTCAACAAGACTTTGAAGGAAGCTGGCAAGAGTTCCTCCATCAAAAGCTTTAAGGCAAGAGATACAGCTGATAACCAAAACCAGCAAGAAGCTCATTTTATTCTTAACTCCCCCTAATTTACATTAAAAACCACATGGTTGGGTTTAATGTGGGAGATTAACACTAAATAACACATCATGCTGTCGAACAGACCTCAACTTTTTATTAAGACATTGAAAACAACAAGATATTTCCAGCCTGATGTTAATGAAGGAATAGCCTTACCACATCAATAAAAGCTCCAGAAAGCAGATTTTGCCTGATGTAGGTCCCTACACTGCAAAAAATAGAAATCTCAATAAGTTATTTTTTCTTAAAATAAGTGTGTTTTTCCTTGAATTGAGGAGGTAAGTAAGACACTTTGCCAATGGAACAAGACAATTTCCTTTTACAATAAGAAAAAACTATTTTATCGTCTTATTTCAAGTAAATATTATCTAACTATCTTATTTTATGAGTAAAAATACTCATTCCATTGGCAGATCATCTTATTTACCTGCTCAAATTAAGGGTAAATATACTTAATTTAAGAATTTTTTTACTTATTTCTGGATTGTTTTTGCAGTGTATATTATGAAAAAGTCAGATATTCAGGAGATGACTCCTTTAAATAGAGTCCACCTAGTTTTTTAAGATGTTTTTACAGAACATTATTGAACCACCAGCATCATGAAGAACATGTGAGAACTGTTGGATGTCTTAAAGTCATGTAGAAATAGTACTAATATGTATGACAGAGGTAACGGATTAGCATACTACGGTCTGGATCCAGACCCACCTGCTGGCTAAACTCGACCCAACCTGATTTATATATTACTGCATGTTGTCTGACGACAGTGTCTAATTTAACTTGCACCGCTTCTCCTGTTAATACGGTAAAGCCTTCCAGAGCGCCGGCACCAGGCTACAGGTCATACAAATTAGCCAATGAGCTGCTGTCAGTCTGGGTTGCTGCTGCTGCTACTTTTAGACACAGCAGGCAAACCTGTGGGAAGCCGGGCGATGGGAAAGAAGGAGAAGATGATGAGAAAAAGAGAGCAGAGAAAGAAAAGTGAAATGGTGCTCAAAGATGACCCTGCACATTTAGAGGATGTTTGGCTCAACCTGCTGCTGTGAATCAGGATTCTCCACCATGAACAGAATCAAAAACAAATATCAATCCAGACTCAAAATGAGCACCTTGATATTTGCTTTAGAATGGCTTAGTCTCCATTCAGACAGTAACAGATTATAATAAAAATTTTCTCCGGACCTTTACTGGTTTATAATTTTCTTTATTCGGACGCGGCTGATTTTTAACTGTTTACCCCTGCTGTAGAAGAAAGTGCTGTGGTCAGATTAGATCCAGATTCAGTGTTTGGCCTCCATCAGCAGCACTGTGTGGTTAAAGGGGAATCTTTAACCACCAACATGCAGCCATAGCTATAGTACAAAGGTTTATAAAAAAAAAAAAAAAATGTCCATGTGTTATCATTTTCAGAGGTTATGCTAATTTATGGTGTTTGTTTCTTTGTTAAGGACAAATCTATCAGCACCAGCCTTCCAGCTCTGGACCTGATTGATGCCATCCAGCCTCAGAGCGTGAACTATGACCTGGTGAAGAAAGAGAGTCTGTCCGACGAGGACAAGCTGGACAACGCCAAGTAATTAGCTAATTGACTTTCCTCGAACCAACCAATCATTTTAGGTCTTATAGGGATCCATGACTAGCTGAACATGTTGGCCTAAATTTGTTGTAATTTTTCTATTTACTTCAAAAAATGTCTGTTTGTAATATGTAAACAATTTATAATTACTCCAAAAATTATATATAATATATTATATATCCTATATTTTTCACCCATGGAGGTTACCTGTTACAGGTGCAATGCATGCTGGGTAGATTACGCGGTTACCTCTGACTGGACAGGAAGCTACAGAGTAAACGTGGGAAGGCTAACATTAGCAGAGTTGTTTTTTATCGTATCGTGTGTCACATGTTACACTGCATCGCTGCCTCAAAGTTTTCACGAGCCATTATACGTGAGATATTTGCAAATGTAATTGACTTTTCATCTACTGCTTAGTATATTAGCTAGAAATAACGCCATTAGCTGCAGCTAACGTGAAATCCAAGTCAAAACAAAAATTGATGGACGACTGTTTGAAGTTACAGTAAAGCACCTTTCAGTCGTCGTAACTCATCATTCTAACATATCTGACAAAATGTTTTGATGCTAATGCTAACCGCTAACAGGCTCAATTAGAAATCAGCATTGTTTGTAGATTAGCTCCCTATCTGGGTTAGCATCTCCTATTAGCAGCTCTATAGCCAACTCTCCTATCTTCCTCCGTTTGGTCCTCCTCACTTTCACCTCCTGTTGTGATTTCTACTTTCTCATCCATTTAAATGCGCTCTGGTTCTAATTGAAAAGGGTGATGCCACGTTCAGACAGCAAGCAGCAAAGGCAGCAGGAGCAGCTAGTATACTTGAGAAGTCAATGGTTGACGCACATCTAGGTGCAGGAAAAGGTCCCGAAGCGCGTTTTGAGAAGCAAGACTAGCGCGTTCTGAGCTTCTGAGCATCTGATGGCGGGAAACGCTGTGAAAGCAGCAGCAACTGGAGTTGGAAAAATTTTAATTTTGCTGCTGGAAAGCACCACATCAACCAATCAGAGGAGCTGATCTGGGAGCTGGCAGGGAGACGGACACAGTGCTGCTGATGCAGAGCGCTATGATCATTCCTCTGAAACAGTTTATTAACACCTAAATTAACTTAATATGTCAAAACCTGCTGGCAAAATATGTCCGCTTTTATTATTCTGGTGCCAGTAGTTTGGATTACGTACATGAAAAACGCTAACATCTGCTTCTAGCCGCTGCAAACAGTAGCGGCAAACCTTGAAGGGGCAACCGGGTCAGAAGCTGCTGTTGAATGGGATTCCCAGTGAAAGCGCACTGCTGGTGTACGGGGGTCTGAGCGTCTCCGACAGCGAAATAATATTTGAAGGCAGGATGGTAATCTAGATGAACTGACTTCATAGATGTAGTTTTCAGGTGGACCATCTCACTTAAATACATATTAAAACAACTTTTTACCCACTGATCACAGAAAATATAGCTGCCATTGTTACAGGCAAAGAAAGTAAAGGGTAGCTCCGCCCAACGCGCATCAGACCCATTTTTTAACCGCACAGCTGGAACAAAGAGGCTTCAGCTGCGCATCAGAAATAAACTTGTACAAGCATCGAAAATGAATCAGTATGCGCGTTTCTGCTGCTCCTGCTGCTTATGATCTAAAGGTAGCATGAAATGGTTTAACGAGGCTAAATACATTTTGCATGTTTTCTAAGCCATACTCAATCTTTGTTGGACTACTCTATAAAGCTTTGAACTCAACGCTAATTCAGCCATTTTGAATTGAAGAAGCTTCCTAGATGGGAAACAAAACGTCTTAAAACTTGGATACAAATTCAAGTGGATTGTTTTTTTTTACTTTTTTGGAAAGAGCTAAAAGACCTATCATTATTTACCCATGATGCATTGCAGCTTAGACAAAAAGGCAAAGTCAGGGTGGTAATGTTATTTACATTTTTTAAACAGTGTCCTGACAGGTTATGTGGCAATAAGAATAATTGTCTTGATGCCGAAAAAGACCCCAACAGATTTCACTTTCAAAAGTGGAGCAGTACAGCTATCGCCACTTGATTTATGCATAAAAATAGCTTTATTATAATTATGCACGGAGCATTACAGATTATATGGAGACTGCAATGTAAGTAGAACAGGAAAGGAAAACAAAAAAATTAGAAAAGATGAAAGAAAGAGGAGATAAAAGTGAGATAACGATAAAACATCTTCTGTCTGCCTCATCAACTGCAAAGAGATGTAAAAAGAACAGCACAACCAATGAACATAGTATAAGAGATATAATAAAGTAGCACCTTGATACTATCACTGAAGTATAAGTAGTATTATTTAATCTGACATGTATACTGTGGTAGCTGAAGATAAGAATATAGGCTTTCTGTCTTTTACATTTTTAACGCTAAACAGCTTACAGCAGCTTTATTGAGCTGTTTTAGATCTAAAATAAATATTTATCAAATAAAATCAGTTGTTATAGCTGATTGTAGATCCTTATAAACTATGTTTCCATAGTAACTTCATTTAAACCTTCCCTGCCCCAGGTATGCCATCTCCATGGCAAGGAAGATCGGCGCCAAAGTCTACGCCCTGCCTGAGGACTTGGTAGAAGTCAACCCCAAAATGGTGATGACCATCTTTGCCTGCCTGATGGGGCGGGGCATGAAGAAGGCCTAAGGAGCAGCGTGGACACACCTACCCACCCTGATTGACACACACACACACAAGGACTGTCTAATCCTGCTGAGATATCTGATTTTTTTTTTAGTTTAGACATTTTTTTTTCCTGTGCTGTCTGACTTTTAAGAGAAACATCATCAAAAATCTGAAATGTGAGCAGCAATAATAAAAACATAATCAAGTTCACAATCATTCAAATATTTAGGGTTACATCTAACTTGGAGAGAAAATTAGAGATCACTGATGGGACCACATGTTCACCTGTAGTGGAAATAGTGTGTTAGACCCTGTGACACATGTTATGGCTCTGTGTAATTTCATGTTTTCTGTATGTCACTGCTTTCTCAGCTCTGCTGTTTGGCAGCCTGCTCACATTTATCAAAATAAGCCATAAAAATCCTCACAGATGCCTTTAATTGTGGCCTAGTTAGATTATAGAAGGTCTGTACAGTGGATGTCGTTTATCAGGACTGAGACTGAATATATCCAAAAAACATTTTGTTCTAGAAAGAAGGCAAAAAATGAATGAAACCTGGGTATAAATATTTCTTTCCAACTTTTTCTAACCTTAATAATATTAAAGTAGTTATTTCATCACACTAGTTTGCTGTTTTCTTGTAGTTTTCACAATCAAATTGTGAACAAATGCTGCAGCTCAATGTGTTTTTCCTCTCCACCGTCGCTGCATGCATGCTCGGTATGAGCGATTGCTGCAGAGTCATCCACACCATGCAAGCGACTGTAATGTCTTCACGTTAATCCAGAAGGAGTGAATCCTGAGAAGTCAGTGCCTGGATGCAGTCAAGGAAAACTTCTAGCCAGTCTGTCTGGAGGAGCTGATTGTCTCTCTAAAGTGCCTTGAGATGACATGCTGTGAATTGGGGCAGTAGAAATACATCCGAATTGTAACTGAATTTAGTTTTGCTGCTTTTTCACACATTCCTCTGCATCTGTAATGTTTTAATGTCTGTCAAACGAGTCATTCCCGTTTCTGCTTTCCAATCATTTCAGTGCAGTTCAAGCTGGCTGAAAACACTCTGTGTACAATCATATCTCTTGTTTTAAATAAATATGTTTTTTCATTGGTTTTGGCAGTCTTCTGTGCATACTTAGTAAAATTGTCATGATTTATTACAAATATATACCAGAACAATTAGAACACCCTCAATATGGACTACCCTGTGATTTCCAAGATATTCACTACATTCAGACTTTTCTGCATCCTTGGCAATTATTCAAAATGATTTAAAACCTAACAGTAATTACCACCCTATCCTACATGTATTACTCTGCACATTATATCCTTCAAGGCCAAGTGGTCACAATGCCACAGATGTTACATCTGTATATTCATATTTACTGTAGATAAAAGAGAGATTTGTTGTTGGACCAGATAGAAATAAATGTATATCAGTTCTGTCAGGGTTACACATTGTTCATATATATTCTGCTTCTTACATTATCTATATCAGAGGTCACAGAGTAGCGGACCGTGATCCGGATCCAGACCCACCTGCTGGCTAACATTTATAAATTACTGCATGTTGTCTGATACCAGTGTCTAACTTTACTTGCGCTGCTTCTCATGTCAATACGGTAAAGCCCTCCAGAGCATCCGGCACCAGGCTACATGTGATACAAATGATCCAATGAGCTGCTGGCAGTCTGGGTTGCTGCTGCTGCTACTTTTAGACACAGCAGGCAAACCTGTGGCAAGCCGGGCGATGGAAAAGAAGGAGAAGATGATGAGAAAAAGAGAGCAGAGAAAGTGTGGACTGCTGGGATAACTGTGCTGAACTGGTGAAAGAAAAGAGAAATGGTGCTCAAAGATGACCCTGCACATTTAGAGGATGTTTGGCTCAACCTGCTGCTGTGAAGCAGGATTCTCCACCATGAACAGAATTAATAATAAATATGGATCCAGGCTCAAAATGAGCTCCTTGATCTGTGCTTTAGAATGGCTTAGTCTCCATTCAAACCAGGTTTAAAGCCTTGCAGGGCAGCATAAAGCCCACTGCCAACATTAAGACAGAAAAAAGAACGAAAAAAGAAAGAAACAGTCAGTTTAAGTGTTTAATAAAATATGTGAATCAGGAAATTGTCTACATATCAAACTGAAAGATTGTTGTTTTCTACTTAAAAAACATTTTATACTTTTTTATTAAAAAATTAATTACATAACATGGATGCATAAAAAACTCATATTATTTCAGTATTAAATTCTGTTTAAAGTAACAATTTATAATTCAAAATGCCTCCGGACCTTTACTGGTTGTTAATTTTCTTTATTTGGGCTGCGCTGATTTTTAAATGGTTCCCCCTGATCTATAATCCAAGGTGATAATGGCAACAGCCCAGCTGATATTTCTCTCCAGGATGGAGTCGCAGCCAATCAGGCCAAACAGACCAGATGAAGCTCATTCATTTTGTTTATCACATTTACCCCAACATAAACCATTGTCGGTATATCCCTAACCCTAAAGGGCTATTTATACTCCAGCAGTGTGTCGCAGGTATGACAGAGATATTTTTGATTTATGCCCAATATTGAAGTGTGCTCTGCGATATATTATTCCACGCCATAAGGCAAGAGGGACAATCAGGAACTAGCTGTGGGTCTAAATACGGCCGAGGCGGTGAGGAAGTGGGGGCCAGTTTGCGCAACAACGGAGGGACATTAAGGCGAAAAAAGAGCGGGGATCCAGGTAGAAAAAGGGTCCCAGCGTCATCACGCACCTAGCTCTTCTAGCTGATCCATCTTCACGAGTCACTTTCCGAAAAGGCGGTCATACAAACAATCTGGTAAGGTACCAAACAGGAAATACACACAGTATAGAGAGGATGTAGATTTGACCAGTCAGAGGCCTCTAAAAAACACATGTATTGATTACCAACTCTTGAATGTGGACTGTCCACAGCTACCACTGAGCTACTGGCTCCTCTACACTCAACCCTGACCTCACACACAATTTTTGTGAAAGTGAATCAGTATTTTACTGTAGTGTTTTTTAGTCTTGCACCGATAACGATAACAGTATCGGGCAGGGCCCCGATCCAGCACTAAAATGATGGTATCGGTATTGGCAAGTACCATCAAATGGGGCACCGATACCATTTTGATACCAAAAGTTTATTCAACTATTGTCACCCATTCCAGGTAGGCAATAAAAAGTTCTACTGGATTCACTTTATATTAGTCTTTTTCCTGCTTCACAAAGGAAGGCAGCAGCTTGGCAAAGCCATGATGGCAATTATTTTACATCACAGTAGTATGCAGTTCTTCATATCTTCGTAACTGTATGGTATCGGTAATGCTATAATTAAAATATTAAAGCGATTTGTCTCATTTCATCTATACCAACAACACACTATGTCAAAGCTATAAGAGTTGATAAAAAATGAAGGAAAATAGTGTATAAGAGCCCTCGATGGAGCCAGATGTTTGACTTTTCCTGAAATCAGTGAATCACTAATCTTTCTCAGCTAAAAGTTACCAATTGGTTAAATAAAAAACAGATTTTCTTTTATCTGAAACAATGTTTCTAGGCAGACGTGGTCCTAAATATATTTCTCAGTCCGTAACCAGTGGAGCACACGAAGACACAGCAGCAGCCCAGAGGCCACTTCAATCAGGGTTGTTGAATTCAGATGAGCCTGGTAGTTAAAGAGGAACACCCACAGACACACATACGTACCATTTACAATTTAGATGATGCTTTTCGAGTGCACCATGTGATCATCCCTTTTATTGGTTACATTTGGCTGCTTCATCTATTCCAGCTGTCCTCTGTGTGTTTGTTTGTCCATTATGTTTTTTGTGACGAAAGGCTTGAAATAAGCTGAACACACCAAACAAGGTGGATTATAACTGAACTGAACATGCTAGTTAATTTGGAGACCTGACTAAGCAACGTTTGGGTGACACACAATAAATCAGGTTAGTTACTTCTCTGTTTTATCTCTTTTATTTTCTGCCCATCAGCTTGTTGCTAAGTGGTTTCTGTGGTGATGCCAGGAGCAGCGTGACCTCGCACTGAATGACCTTCGTTTTGTGATTGTCTGATTGCCTTTTTTTTATTTGAATAACACCAGCAGCTTTCTTTTGCTTTTGTTTTGACTAAAGTCGGGGATCTTTGCTTATTGTCTGCTGCATGTTTGAGGTTTTGGTTTTTAGACCATATGTAAATGAAAAGAACCATTCTCTGCTCCTGTTTTCTGCAGCATGACCGGTCCGCTGCACGATTCTCACAGGCTATCAGTGAAAACATGGACAGAGGAGGAGAGTGATTGTGCTGAAAGCACGCTTAGCAGGTAGACACACACCTCCACAGACCCACAGCCAAAGATCTTCATTTTCCTAGTCCCTTTCCGACGTGTGGGTTAGCACGGTTTGAAATGAAACCCATCTAATGATCAGTCTGAGGGGAATGGTTTTCCTTCACCAGTGAAAAAACAGTTCAGTTACCAGGGAAGGAGGAGCTGGTAGAAATGACCCTTTGTAAGAATTTGTCTTTTTTAAATCAATAATATGTCATTTTGTTACATATCATTATGGCAATTTGGAGATCTAAAGGAGATAGCAGTTTATTTTATTTCGCTATCTTGAAGGGGGTCTGGAAAACATTGTGGAAACCCAAACGGGGGTCCAGAAAGAAAAGTTTGGGAGGAGTCAGTCTGTTTCTCAGCAGTCTGTTTTGTCCGTTTTAACTCTTCTTCTTTTACATCTTGGATTTGGGGTTGAAGTTGAAGTATTATTCAGTTAATCGGCTGCACAAGGTTGTAAGAAACCACCTGGATGCCAACGGTAATGCATCATGAAGTCCATTAAGAGCCTTCTAACTGAACTGCCACCATCACCAGAGGAGTAAACCGTCCCCAAAAAGTCAACCCGATCGACAAAAGAATAAACCAATTTTTTTTAATTGTTTTTTAAAGATTATACCAGAACGAAACTAACAGAGCTCTGCCAACTCTCAGCCACCTTGAGCAGTGCAATTCTAGAAACAAAGACTATTTACATAGGAGATATAAGGATGTTTCTTTAGAAAGCAAATAGACAAAGATGTTTAAATATATTTGCTTAGTATTTGATGGAGATGGTAAGTAGGCTGCCTTGCACACACCTTTTACCCTCTGGCATTGTAATGGCCTATACTAAAAGCTGATGTCTTCAAGTCACTGTTGTACCTGAGCATTAGGGTACTTTTCCTCATGATGCCATGTAATCTATGAGACCCTCCAGACCCCACACAACATCCCACATCCAGACTGACATAGGAGTCTTGTTCCATCAGTCAGCTGGTATCCAAACCTAGTTTTTTACAAGATGACCACTTTTGTTCAACTTGGCAGCAATTTTCCGTTTTATTTGGCTGCAACATTATTTATTATGCAACTCTGTAATTATAAATTCTATCTCCTGCAAATTCTCCTGCACTTGGCATGTCGGTATCCCAGGGACTCTGGTTTAATTAGTTTTAATTTCATCCAAAGAAAAAATAGTCAGTGAGTTCTATGTGAGATCAAGCTGAAGTTCAAATAACATCTCGAACAAAGAACAGACGGACAGTTCAATCTTCCAAAGTCTATTCTTAATCTTTAACACAATTTCTGTGAATGAACACCTCCAAGCAGATTTACGTTTTTTCTGGAAGGTGGAGAGCATCATGTTTAAGACATTCATCCACGATCTGTCAAGGCTCAGAAGAGAAGATCCTCTTTTTGAAGCAGACAGTTTGATATCTCAAAAAACATTTCTTAAGAAAAATGGATCTGCAGTGAAAAAAGAGGGTGCTAAGGCAGGAACCTCTGCAGGAAGTGAACATAGGTTAGTGACCACGTCAATCTGACAGAGGATGATTATGAACGTGTGAGTCACTAACCTGGTCTTAAAGTTCAGTCCGTGCCCAGAGGATGAGGTAGATCCCAGCCGGTTGGCTGCCAACAAGACGGAGCAGGAGCCGCTCAGAGAATCCCAGATGCTGATGTCCCGGAGGCCGTAGAACAGGCAGGAGATCCGAACCGAACAAATGAAGTAAAGCAGAATAATCCAGAGTGCGAAGCCAAAGCCGATGTCGAGAACATGCTTGGAAGTCAGCGCCAGAAGATCAGAAATCCGAAGGGTAATCCAGGAAGGTGCCAGGTACTTTAGATACTTTAGAAGACTCTCACCAAGGACTCGAATAATCTGGCACTGATTACTGGAAGAAGACAGGTGAAATACAGCCTGGAGCAGATGGAATAGGTGAACGGTAATGAGAAACTGGGCTGAGCTAGACAGGTGAATGAAATGAGTAACCAGACCAGTCATAAGCACCAAGATCATGACATGATCATTTACTGGAGGTAAGAACGTTTGTTGAATCTAATGTGCTGCGTTGGTAAAAGCTCGGTGGGAGAAAAAGTAAGAAAGATTAACGACAAGAAAGAAATGTTGTTGCATTAGACCCAATATTCTTAGACCTGTGTACTTCCGTTTTACCTTTTCAAGAATTAGAAATTCTTATGTCCCAAAACATCCCCTTAGTTAACAGGGTATTTCTAAAAAACTTAAGCTCTTTGACCCTTGATGCCTTTTCAAGTTACTTTCCTTCCCATTTGGTTTGGAATAATGATTTCCTCTCTGCTGATTTCCTTTTCAAACCAAATTGCTAAAAGTCTAATTTCATAGTAGCAAATCAAACTATTATCAACTTTAGCCAGTATGTTTTCCCTGTTCTTGGCATCTGGAGTTAAATTGTTCATTGTACAGGATATGAAGAAATGTCTTTTAGTCATGTCAATGTCAGATGTTTTAAATAAACTATCTGAATTCTGCAGTAGTCCATTCATTGCACTAAAACTATAGAAACTAGGGAGTAAATAATATAATGCAAGGAATGACTCGTGATACTTAGCAAAATAGAAATTAGAAAAAGGTGGAGGATAAGAGGTTAGAACTGAGGCCAACCAAGGACACCAAGAGGCTGAGAGCTGAATTGCAAAAGTAAAGCAAACAACCTTAAACTTGTGCTTTAACCAAGGGAACCAAACAGCTGAAACCAGTTCTATAGGCACACAGGACAATTTGAAGGGACATTTTTCCTCACTGCATTTTGAGGATTATTTGAAAAATCAGTTTAAAGCTGCAGTTTTCATCCTAAAACAGAAACAAGCTGCATTCAGTGGGAAATGCATGTCTTAGATTTATTGGTACTTTAGGGTTATTTCTTTTTTTGTGTCTCTGCATTAACAGAGGGCAATCGATATGTGATGATACTTCCTCAGAGCTGCAGAGAATGGCAGCCATTGAAAGGAATTCCCAGAGCTCCTTTCGAGGCCGAGGGGCGCTATCCAGGTATGGCTAGAGTCAATAATTTGAATATTCAGCAATGCAATGTGATCTTGTATTCATCTTTGCATGTCAGCTCATTCTCTGATGTAAGTAGCAGGTGCAGCATTAAAATAGTAATTGTTTCATTACCAACAGTCAACAGTCCAGAAGATAAATGACATTGATCTAAAGCTATTTAAGGTAAATTCCTGGATTCTGTGTCTTGCTGCCTGCAGGATAGTGGGTATGGTGATGACTCTGAGAGAATGGGCTCATAAGAGTCTGGCTGAGGAGACAGAGCGGCCCGATTCCTTTTTGGAGCGCTTCAGGGGCCCTGCCAACATGGACATGCAGGGGCCGCCCAGCAGATTCAGCCAGAGCCACACAGGTTCTGAGACAGAGAATGAAATCCGACGCTCCAGGCGCACGTAAAAGACCAATGCTGGTCCAGTTTAAGGTTTCTCTAAATGTCTTAACCTTGATTTGATTCAGTCTGTGATTCTGACTCTTTCCCTCAGGAGGAAGAGGAAGTGGAGAATTGTGGTTTTATCCCCATCTGATGATGCCTACTACAATTGGCTGATAGTGATTGGGGTGGCAGTTTTTTATAACTTCACACTATTAGTTGTAAGGTAGGAAACTTTTTACTACACTACAACAAAATGCATTGTAATAAATATAGTTAAATCACCTCCCATATCTTTCACTTTAGTTGAATCTATATCTCTTTCTTTGAAACGATGGCTTAACCTTTTATAAAAAAAAAATAAAAAAATACCTCTGTCACATGGTGTCCACTTGTAATTTTCTGCACAGAGCTTCACATACAAGACTCTTAATTTTTCAGTTTTCCTGTGGACAACAACTGTTTTTTTCTTGATGTATATACAAGGTCTGTAATTTAAAGTATATGCAGATGACTGTGTGATTCAAACATCTTCATAGTTGTTGTCAGCTGGATTACAACTGCCTTTTTGCTAAAGAATTTATAGCATCACAGTGATGTCATCGATTTCAGTGATAGCCTAGCAATGATCGCCGCCATCTTAGGAGGGGTAAACATTTGCTTAAGGCTGATTTATACTCAGCAACCAGCTCATCTTCGTGTGTGTCGCAGTGAATGTGCTGCAGACATTCTGCGGCACCTCTCCAAAACTGTACCTGACCACAGACAGGAGGCCTCTGATTGGTCAAATCTACATCTACACTATGCCTATTTCCTGTTTGGTACCTTACCAGCTTGTTTTGTTTGTATGACCGCCATTGTGGAAAACGATTCGTAATTTGGACCAGCTAGAAGAGCGAGGTGAGAAAGAACGCTGGGACCCTTTTTCCACCTGGATCCCCGCTCTTTTTTGCCCTCATATCCCTCCGTTGTCACACAAACTTGCCCCCATTTCCCCATCGCCTCAGCTGTATCTAGACCCACAGCTAGTTGTGATTGTCAATCTTCCATTGTGGCATGGAATAACATAGAGCAGACCACGCTTCAATATTGGACATAAATCAAAAATATCTGTGACAAGCTCACTGCAACACACTGCTGCAGGAGAATAACCAGCCCTACAGTGTTTTACATCTTTACTCTATTTATTGCCCAACCCAGTAGGGGTGGTTAATATGTTATTTTAATCAGATAATATTCACTGTCATTTATTTGCTATGAACACACATCCTACTGGCTGTGTGTAAGAACAATAAATGAAAGCGGGAAAGTATAAATTCACCAAAACTTCCCTTCAAAATATTATTGACAAACACATCCAGCCCCACTTCAAACATATTTCAAAAACAAGTGAAACTCAACCAAACTAAGCTACTATGTACAACGAAGAAGGAAAAACATGGTTGAAAACCATAATAAATGAAATGATGCAATGGTATCACGGTTTAGCATGTATTTTGTGTTTGAAAACCAAAGTTAATCTTAAAGAATTCGGGATGTGTTAGCTTTTTTAATAATTCAGAGCAATTGGACAAATTCACAATGCATAATTTAGCCAAATAATGTTTTCTTAAATGATTTGCTTAACCGGCTGCTCAGTGGAACAGTGGGTGGCACTGCTGCCTTGCAGCAAGAAGGTTTCTCGTTTGATTCCTGGCCCGGGGTCTTTCTGCATGACTTCTTCCCACAGTCCAAAAACATGACTGTTAGGCTTCTCTAAATTCTAAATGCATTAATTTTAGACTTTATGACTTTAGACAGATTTTATTTGGCATTTTGTTTCCACAAGTGTAAAACTAAAATAAATTTAGTTTGGAAACAGCTCACTGGACAATTTCATCTTTTAAAAGTGCAGCCTTGGAAAAATAGTACAAATGACAGAAAACTTATAAACTGAATAAATTAAGGATAAACTTTAATGACTTGATACCACTTGAAGCAAGTTGTGGGTGCATTCAGTTTTTAGACTGGAGCTTTAAACTTGAGTTACATCATGCATCTCTATACAGTTATCGCTCTACAGTCATTGAATCTTAATACTTCAAATCACAAGAAGATGTGAATGATGTGGTTTAAGAAATGTCAAAATTCCTCCTGTATATGAACATGGGCCTGTATGATCATGTTGGTTGGTATGTGTGGAATATGCATCAACAGGCATCTAAGCTCATGAACACCCATAACCCAGAATATTTTTATTGGAACCAAAATAAAGGGTGGGAGACAGAGTAAACAATTCCCTAAACAAAAAAAAGGGTTAAAATATTCCAGATTCCCCCTAAAAGTATTTATGGATCAAGACAATAAAAACATCTCCTGGTTATTTAAAACTTTCTTTTAAAACAAAGGAAACCAAGTCTTTGTGGGTCAAAATTTGAACTGCTCAGGAATTGTGTTGAGGTTTGTCTTACTGTCCGAATTAATTCCAATAAACCTTTCTCCCTGAATTGAGACCTCATATCTAAATGAGAAATGTCCACATAGATCAAGATGAAAAACACTCATTCTCCATTTCCATACCTTAACGCAAGCCAATACTTTGATGTATCCATGAAAACCTAACTTCATCTACATCTCTCCACTTATAATCCGGTGTACTTGGCTCACCATTGATTGACAACTGAATATCTATCTCTGGCATTTGTTCATTTCTAGATCCATTAAGAATCTTTTGTGAAACTGTACAATAGTGCACTCTGTTTGCTCACATTGAGCAGCTGTTTGCTGAACCAGAGAAACTAAACCAAAGATGAGCACATAGGCCAGGTTCACGTACTCTCAGTTTCCAGGTTACATTTTTTACAGACTGAAAAAAAACCTTAGCAACCGTCTCTCAGAAAAATGGACCTTTGCTGAAAAGCTTCAGAATTCCTATGTAATTTCTTGTTGATTGCAATGATTTATACTGTATATTGTTTTTTCTTCCTGTTTTACTGAAGGGCCTGTTTTGACGAGCTTCAGATGAAAAGTATTCAGGTATGGCTGGTGCTGGACTACATCTGTGACGGAGTCTACGTCCTGGATATAGCTGTTCGTCTTCATACAGGTACTCAATAGGCATGCATCAATCAAAGATGTGTTATGTGCCTTTTGAAGTATTGCATTAGAAGAAAAACAGCAAATTTAAATTAACTTAGATTTTGCCAAAACGGTTCTATGCTTACATGGATTGGATTTTGACTCTTTCAAAAAAGTTTTAACCAAGTAAATGCGCTAGGGAGGGGGAAAAAACAGTTGAATAAGGTCAGACGAAGTGAACATTAAGCTCATATAAGTGATCAGCTATTTCTGCTGCCGGTGTCCTGAATGCTGGTGTGTACCAGATCTGCTCGGGTCCTGTGCATGCCAGTAATGTTACACTACATGATTGGCTGAACGTTGCTACATGATGTAAAACATAGTGGTTGCCCAGACAATGATAATAACATCATGCAGCGTCCATTAGCGTGTCTAACGACCAATGAAGTTTTAACTGATCAATAACAAAACTGAAATAACCCGTTTCTGGTGAACAAAATAAATATTAGACCATGATATAAAGGGGGAGATCTAATTAGCGCTGTAGCTAGCTGTGCTCAGTAGCTAACAGGTTAGCCTCTTTTAGCTCGGTCAGTTAGCCACATTAAGCTACACTATTTTTGAATTTGTATCAACAACAACCGTTTGTTTTCTACAAGTAGAATAACAGTTTTCATTGTCTAAAATCTCTACGAAAGTCATTTTTTTAATATGTTACATTTGACCTTCCTGCCCTAAGATCTTAATAAAAGAATAAAAATAAGCTGAGACTTCTTGTGTAATCTTGTTAAATGGCAGGGCTTAGTCTTTCTTAGAACCCAGCACAAGTTCAAGACTAACAATGATTGTTTTCTGTTAAATAGTAGCAAATAAAGGTAATTATGTTCAAACTCCAAAATAGATTAGATTCTTTGTCTTTTTTTATTGATTTTCACAACTTTATGTCAACATTAACAAAAGTTAACAGAAACAACCCACCCTAAAACAACAAGGAGCATTGCAGTGTCCGCATAAAAAAAAAAAAAAAAAAACTACATACAGCTTACACACACAAAATACAAACAGACATTCCCAGTCATGGTTCACCATAGTTGAAACCGTTGGACAGCCAAATGAATAATATACTGAATGTAAAAAAGAGAAGGGAAAATTATTTAAAAAAATACAAAAAAAAAATTACATTTTCTGTAAGAAAGATTGCAGTGGGTTCCAGATCCTCCACAATTTGTCAGACTTTTGATGAAGATCATGGGGATTAGATTCTTAAGAAACGGGTTCAATACATTTTGTCCAAGTGGAGTTGCCATATGATGCTGTCATAAGAAGGGCCCCGAGCAGATCTGACCCCCCAAACAGATCCGGCACCTACACCAGCACTAAAATCCCACCTCTCTTTCAAAGTCTCTGGATAGCAGGAACCAGCTAGCCTTTTGTATCCTGATATAAATAAAGCCAATAATCTTTTTGTCAAAATAGAAAGCCATATTTAGTTTAGCTTTTTTATTGACACAATTTTTTCCTAATGCCTTATTTTGGGCATTGCTTTTTTTATGCTTGCTGAGTGAAGGTTTCTTGGATCAAGGATTGTTGGTAAAAGACGTCCGTCGTCTGAGAGAAAGCTACATCCGAACATTGCAGTGTACGCTGGACATCTGCTCCATCCTCCCTACGGACCTCCTGTACCTCATAGCTGGAATGAGCTACACCCCTCTTCTGCGATTTAACCGTCTCCTGCGGCTGCCGCGGCTGTTCGAGTTCTTCGAACGAACAGAGACTCGGACGAGCTATCCAAACATGTTCCGTATCTGCAAGCTAGTTCTGTACATCCTGGTTATCATCCACTGGAACGCCTGTGGTTACTACAGTTTCTCCAAAGTTCTGGGTCTAGGCTCTGACTCATGGGTTTATCCCAACGCTTCTGACCCTGAGTTTGGTTCCCTGACCAGAAGCTACATATACTGCCTGTACTGGTCGACTCTGACACTCACCACTATTGGCGAGACTCCTCCTCCTGTCAGAGATGAGGAATATCTGTTCTTGATATTTGACTTTCTGGTAAGACTATGACTCATAAAACATGACTTCCACTGCATGAATCTCTACTCCAAACCTGCCTGTTGGTGTTTCTGTCCCAGGTCGGGGTTCTGATTTTTGCCTCTATTGTTGGCAACGTTGGAGCCATGATATCCAATATGAATGCAACTCGAGCAGGCTTTCAAACCCGCGTAGATGCCCTCAAACACTATATGCACTTTAGACATGTCAGCAAGGTCCTGGAGCAGCGAGTCATTCGCTGGTTTGACTATCTCTGGACTAATCAGAAGACGATAGACGAACAAGAAGTCCTGAGGAGCTTGCCCAATAAACTGCGGGCAGAAATTGCTATTAACGTTCATCTAGACACACTGAAGAAGGTAAAACACCCAGAACCTCCACGGATATTTTAGCTTTTTAATGTTTTGGATATATGTACCCAATTTACACTACCCTTGAAAAACCGATCCATGTCGAGACCGGTCCGATCTCGGATCAGTTAACCAGGCCGAGCTTGGTTCTGACGACTTTTTACACATCACGCTATCTCAGTTCCTTGACTCCTCGCCTCCTAGTAAGGTTCTGCGGTATTACTGCCAGTATTGAAGGAGGAAATCAAGCAGTTGGTGGCGGTAATGCACCAAAAGTTGTTTGCCAACCGCCATAAAACACAAGAAGAAGAAGACGAAGAAGGAGAGAATCAAGCAAATCAAAATGGCGGCGCCCGTCACATTCAGAATGTTATGCTTGATAATTATTGCTGTAAGCCGGTGTTTGCGGAGGGTCAGGCGAAGACGGCAACCTTTCGTGGATTTACTTTAGAAAGTCAGCTTAACTTAGTTGTTCTTCTTCTTCTGTTTTGTGTTGGTTGGCTAGCAACTTCCGGAGGGGCATTACCGCCAACTACTGGAATGGAGTGTGAATCGGGATGTGCAGCCAGACAGAGCCAGACGGACGCGTTCTGCTCATGCGCTCTTGTTATCAGAGAACCGAGCCAGGGAAAAACCGAGCCGAGCCCACCTCTGGAGCTGGTCTGTAGTTAGTGCAGTCCGGTTGTGTCTAACTCGGTTCAGTTGAGTTTGCTTTCCATTTACACACGATAAGTTATCTCAGTTACTGAGCTCTGACTGGTCTCAGCACGGTTTTTCAAGGGTAGTGTAAATGGGGTATTAGTAGCAGCATATCTATTCTGCTCTAATAGCTGATCGTTCTTGTGGTTTAAACCTGTGTTCATGTCTTGTGCACTTGACTTTCTGTGAATGTGCGTGGATCTAGGTGCGTATATTCCAGGACTGTGAGGCAGGTCTCCTCGTGGAGTTGGTGTTAAAACTTCGCCCCCAGGTTTTCAGCCCTGGTGACTACATCTGCAGGAAGGTTTGTTTCTTTTGATGGTGCTTCAGATATGATTTATTTGTTGGTCTTGAAAGAATTAAAGACATCTAGCGGTTAAATTACAATGGTTTAAAGAAGAGGCAAGACACATGAAAACTGTTGGTTACTGCTGGTTGGTATCGTTAGACTTACTTCTGGTCATCAACATGTTCACCACATAAACAGCAGAACAGAAACTTATTCACTAAAACAATACAAATATTGTATAACAGCAGGGTCTTATTTACGTATGGAATAAATTATTCTCATCTCGTTGAGGCAAAGAAATAAAAAAAAAAATTGAAAATCTATAAAAAAAAATGCAATCCAGAAATCAAACTTTGATTAATATTTTGTTCAAAGAAAGGATTTAAGAGTAACTTTACTCTTTAAATATATAAACTCTTGTAGCTGATAATTTTCTGCCTATATTAATAGTTAAAGATAGATGTTCTACTTTTCCAGATTTGTGGTTCTTTTTTATTAATTATAGGTGCTAACCCGAGTTTAGGTTTCCTGAAAAAAAGTTTACTTATAGCAGGAGTGTATGACTGCATCTCCTGTGACAATATCTGAGATATTTAAACCACACCCCCCTCATCAGTATTTGCTGCGCAGGGTAAATGACAAGCAACGGATATTGTATCATGCGACCTTAAACAAAAAAATTTACGTTTAACCAAGGTTACTTTGGTAGCTTTAGCAGTGTATGGTAAAATGTGTAATACTGTTTCTTTAAGGTCATGGTTAGAGTTAGGGAGCGGTTAGTGAGTCAGTTGTGAGTTTTTATTTCACAGCTGATGGAAAAAATGTTGTAAGTTCCTGCTACAGCCTGTCTCATGAACCCTGCGCATCAGTTACTGATGAAAGGGATATCCTCGTCGCGTCAGTATGTGAACCTTTAGGTGACAAGTAGGGAGGGAGAACGGGTTGGATTATAGGCCTATATCATAACTTATCCTTTTTCAGGTTATCATTTGTCTGTTTTTAATTGTTTCTTCTCCATGTAGTTGGTAAGAATGAAAAGCAACATTTTAAGAGATTATTTGACGGATTACTTTAAAAGTAGGTTTAAGGATAGGTCCTCTGAAGTTAGGATTAGTACACAGCAGACTGCTGAGGCAAGCATGATGACAGAGATGAGACTTCACAGAACCTATCCCTATTTCAAAAAAAGCGCCTAACACCAAATAAATGTTTCTGCAATCAGCTAAGTGAGCTTAGTGCTTGGAAAAAGTCATCGCAGATTGATATTAAGGCTTATGATACTTTTGACGTTTCATAGAGAACTGCATTCTGATAATTAAACAAGTCATTCTTGACCCAAGAGAAGAGTTTGTTTTTTTTCGGGAAAATATTACAAAATTATGATCTGACAGACCAAACAGAAGGTTATAGAATTTAATAATCTGTTCTGGCTTATTAATGAATACTGAGTCTGTTTCAGTTTTTGACTGTCTTGTTATTCTTGTAGATTGCTCAATATGGAGAACAATTTAGAGTATCAATTCAATCGTTAAGGTCTTTCATGTCCTAGTTTACAATAAAATCCCCCATTACAATTATTTTAATGGGTTTATTATTTATAGTATGGCACCTAAGTAGTGTCTTTAATTGCTTATCGAAATGTGTTTTTGCTGAAGGGCAGAGGGGAAAATAAACAGATGAGTGTAAAATTCATTACTGAAGAGAGAGAAATTTTAACAGAAACATTTTATATTTCGACCTCTAAGTTGAGTGCAGTCCAATTTTTAACATACATAATCACCCCTCATCTTCTTCCAATTATATCCCACAATGTTGCTGTTTTCGAATTCAAGCATTATGTTGGATGCAAACAAAGTTACAGTAAAAGATAATGTTTCATTAAATAGGGCTGTAATTTAGAATTTGATTAAATTTCATTCAAAATAGTGCAAAATACTTTTTTCTGATCATAAATAAAACCATTAAAAATCAGCTGCCTTTTTTAATTTGTTATATTGTCAATCAAAGCGTAGCCATTCTTCCAGTGGCATAGCCAATGTAAAACAATATCTTCCTCTTTGTGTGTTTGTGTTGATGTAGCCATCAGCTCATTTTTAACCATCTTGAAAAGATTGAGGTTTTAAGGTTTGGAAAGATCGCTAGATGAGCTCCAACACTACCATCCATGTTTACTTCCGTAAACACGAATCACGCTGGCCTGTGATGTCATTGCGTCCTCTACTGCGCATGTGGGACACTTAAGCTGTATGAATGCAGTTCACATAGGAGATCGCATATTAGTTGCAAATATTTGGAAATGTGAACGGCAAAGAAAAAAAAAAATCGTATTTCACAAAAAAAAAAAAATATGGAATTGAGCATCAAGGCCTGCAGTGTGAACGTAGCCTAAAAGATCTGCCTCCCATTCTACTTTTAGAAATTCTAGGAACCACTAGTAAACCTGCAGATTGAGAGCAAAGTGCTCTGTTAGGAACATAAGGAACAATCAGATCTCTGATATCAGATGGAGCTTGGCCATTTAAGGCTTTACATGTAGGAAGGAGGATTTTAAATTCTATTCTGGATCTAAAAGGAAACAAATGAAGAGAAGCCAGGATAGGAGAGATATGATCTCTTTTTCATTTTCATCAGAACTCTGGCTGCAGCATTTTGGATCAGCTGAAGGCTTTTAACTACAGTTTGTGGACTTCCTGATTTTGAATAGAATTTTTGCAAAATATCCTGCAGATGAAAAAAGGAAATTCTAGAAACCTCTTTGATATGGGACTTAAATGACAGGTCCTGATGAAAAATAACACCAATATTTTTTACTTTATTATCTGAAATCAGTTTAATTACATCTCAATTTTTGAGGTCCCACATGCAGAGATCAGGAGGCAGAGGGGAGTCTTGTAGAATTAGAGAGAACACTGAGGCTGAAATCCAACATACAAAAATACTGAGAACCAAAAATAAGAAACTTCAGGGAAGACTCACGTGGGGAGCCAGATATGAGGAAGGAAATTAACAATAAACCAGCTCTGAGTGACTGCAGAGGTGGTGCATATATTGGTAGACTGAACCAAGACAGGCTAATCAGCAGATTGGGAGCAGGTGTGGGATAGACCAACTAGAAGGAAGCCAAGGGGAAAGGAAACAAGCACAAGGGGCCAGCAGAGGGTAACTAAGGAACTCAGCACTGCTAGAAATAAACTATATAGACACAGAATAAAAATAAACTAAAAATAAACCCAAGCAGACAGAAGAACCCTGACAGTTTAGAGCTGGACAACGATCTTTCCAGGCTTTTATGCTAAAGCAAAGCAATATACACCAAGCGTTTGTCTTGATAGTGTTTTTTTTTTGTCCTTTTCAAACCTAACAAAGGATTTTTGCACCAAGCATGATCAGCTGACAAATTATAAAAGTCTTTCTATGCTACATGTTCTCTGCCTTTACCCAGGGGGATGTGGGTAAGGAGATGTACATCATTAAAGAGGGCCACCTGGCAGTGGTGGGGGATGATGGAGTCACCCAGTTCGCTGTCCTGACCTCAGGCAGCTGCTTTGGAGAAATCAGCATCCTGAACATCAGCGGGAGCAAGATGGGGAACAGACGCACCGCTAACATAAGGAGCCTGGGCTACTCTGACCTGTTCTGCCTTTCCAAGCAAGACCTGATGGAGGCACTGCAGGATTTTCCCCACGCCAGGGCACAGCTGGAGCAGCGGGGGAGGGACATCCTTCAGAAGGAGGGGCTTTTGGAGGAGGTGAACGTGTCTGCCGGAGAAGATCTGGAGGAGAAGATGGACAGGCTGGAAACCAGTCTGGATCGTCTGCAGGTCATTATTTAAAACACAGACCACATGGGGGAAAAAAAAGAAATATGACGACAATGTTTATTAGAAATTTTTCCTAGATTTTATTTTCGCTATAAAAATGTCATTTTTTTCAAAATTTCATTTCATAAAAAAAAAAAAAGATTTTTATTTTTTTTTAAATATTTTTTCCGATTGTAGTTATTTGTTTAAAGTTGTAAGGAAGTTATATTTAAATGTCAAATCCTTCTGGCTTAAACATGGATATAAATGTACTCTTTATCAAACGTTAGAGATCAAAGTTAGAAAATGTCTATTTAAAAAAAAATCCTGTCTTAAAAACTTTTTTTTCCATTATCTTTTGGTCGTAGTCATATTTAGTCTTAGTCTGAACACCTAAATTCAGCAAATCATATATCAACAGTCAGA